GATTTAAACTTACTGCAAACTAAGTACTAAACTTCAAATTCAATAAAACAAACCCTGGTTTGAACAATCGAGAATAAGAGAATGGAGATGGAAGAATAGAGAAGAGTGCATTACAGACTTTCAGTTTTCAAGAATCGATATTGGAGGAGAACTGGAGAAGTAAAGAAGGAAGAAGAACAGAACGCTACGTGCCAACGTTTTGTTGAAATCGAATCTTCGCTGTGGAATTGTTGGTGTGAATAACAATCGTTTTTTTAGTCTATACTAGAAATAACTTTAGAATTGGGGGACCTAAGCAAGGGATTAGTTTAGTAAGAGGTAAAGTCGGGCTTGGGGACCATCATCATAAAAACACAACAAAAGACATGTATCTTGAGAAAACACATCTATGTACAACAGGAGATACCAACCACCCAATTGATTTTTACATTTAAAAATACCAAGATTTAAACTTACTGCAACTAAGTACTAAACTTCAAATTCAAGAAAACAAACCCTGGTTTGAACAATCGAGAATAAGAGAATGGAGATGGAAGAATAGAGAAGACTGCGTTTCAGACTTTCAGTTTTCAAGAATCGATATTGGAGGATAACTAGAGAAGTAGAGAAGGAAGAAGAACAGAACGCTACATGCCTGCGTTTTGTTGAAATCGAATCGTCGCTGTGGAAGTGTTGGTGTGAATAACAATCGTTTTTGTCGTCTATACTAGAAATAACTTTAGAATTGGGGGACCTAAGCAAGGGCTTAGTTGAGTACAAGGTAAAGTCGGGCATGGGGACCATCATAATAAAAACAAAACAAAAGACATGTATCATGATAAAACACATCTAAGTACAACAGGAGATACCAACCACCCAATTGATTTTTCTATTTAAAAATACCAAGATTTAAACTTACTGCAACTAAGTACTAAACTTCAAATTCAAGAAAACATACCCCGGTTTGAACAATCGAGAATAAGAGAATGGAGATAGAAGAACAGAGAAGACTGCGTTTCAGACTTTCAGTTTTCAAGAATCGATATTGGAGGAGAACTGGAGAAGTAGAGAAGGAAGAAGAACAGAACGCTACGTTCCTGCGTTTTGTTGAAATCAAATCATCGCTGTGGAATTGTTGGTGTGAATAACAATCGTTTTTGAGGTCTATACTAGAAATAACTTTAGAATTGGGGGCCCAAAACAAGGGCTTAGTTTAGTACAAGGTAAAGTCGGGCCTGGGGACCATCATCATAAAAACACAACAAAAGACATGTATCTTGAGAAAACACATCTAAGTACAACAGGTGATACCAACCACCCAATTGATTTTTACATTTAAAAATACCAAGATTTAAACTTACTGCAACTAAGTACCAAACTTCAAATTCAAGAAAACAAACCCTGGTTTGAACAATCGAGAATAAGCGAATGGAGATGGAAGAATAGAGAAGATTGCGTTTCAGACTTTCAGTTTTCAAGAATCGATATTGGAGCAGAACTAGAGAAGTAGAGAAGGAAGAAGAACAGAACGCTGCGTGCCTGCGTTTTGTTGAAATCGAATCGTCGCTATGGAAGTGTTGGTGTGAATAACAATCGTTTTTGTCGTCTATACTAGAAATAATTTTAGAATTGGGGGCCCTATGCAAGGGCTTAGTTGAGTACAAGGTAAAGTCGGGCCTGGGGACCATCATCATAAAAACACAACAAAAGACATGTATCTTGGAAAACACATCTAAGTACAACAGGAGATACCAACCACCCAATTGATTTTTACATTTAAAAATACCAAGATTTGAACTTACTGCAACTAAGTACTAAACTTCAAATTCAAGAAAACAAACCCTCGTTTGAACAATTGAGAATAAGAGAATGGAGATGGAAGAATAGAAAAGACTGCGTTTCAGACTTTCAATTTTCAAGAATCGATATTGGAGGAGAACTGGAGAAGTAGAGAAGGAAGAAGAACAGAACGCTACATGCCTGCATTTTATTGAAATCGAATCGTCGCTGTGGAATTTTTGGTGTGAATAACAATCATTTTTGTAGTCTATACTAGATATAACTTTAGAATTGGGGGCCCTAAGCAAGGGCTTAGTTGAGTACAAGGTAAAGTCGGGCCTGGGGACCATCATCATAAAAACACAACAAAAGATTTGTATCTTAAAAAAACACATCTAAGTACAACAGGAGATACCAACCACCCAATTGATTTTTCTAATTAAAAATACCAAGATTTAAACTTACTACAACTAAGTACTAAACTTCAAATTCAAGAAAACAAACCCTGGTTTGAACAATCGAGAATAAGAGAATGGAGATGGAAGAATAGGGAAGACTGCATTTCAGACTTTCAGTTTTCAAGAATCGATATTGGAGGAGAACTGGAGAAGTAGAGAAGGAAGAAGAACAAAACGCTACGTGCCTGAGTTTTGTTGAAATCGAATCGTCACGGTGGAATTGTTGGTGTGAATAACAATCGTTTTTGTAGTCTATACTAGAAATAACTTTAGAATTGGGGGGCCTAAGCAAGGGCTTAGTTTAGTACAAGGTAAAGTCGGGCCTGGGGACCATCATCATAAAAACACAACAAAAGACATGTATCTTGAGAAAACACATCTAAGTACAACAGGAGATACCAACCACCCAATTGATTTTTACATTTAAAAATATCAAGATTTAAACTTATTGCAACTAAGTACTAAACTTCAAATTCAAGAAAACAAACCCTGGTTTGAACAATCGAGAATAAGAGAATGGAGATGGAAGAATAGAGAAGACTGCGTTTCAGACTTTCAGTTTTCAAGAATCGATATTGGAGGAGAACTGGAGAAGTAGAAAAGGAAGAAGAACAGAACGCTATGTGCCTGTGTTTTGTTGAAATCGAATCGTCGTTGTGGAATTGTTGGTGTGGATAAGAATCGTTTTTGTATTCTATACTAGAAATATCTTTAGAATTGGGGGCCCTAACCAAGGGCTTAGTTGAGTACAAGGTAAAGTCGGGCCTGGGGACCATCATCATAAAAACACAACAAAAGACATGTATCTTGATAAAACACATATAAATACAACAGGAGATACCAACCACCCAATTGATTTTTCTATTTAAAAATACCAAGATTTAAACTTACTGCAACTAAGTACTAAACTTCAAATTCAAGAAAACAAACCCTGGTTTGAACAATCGAGAATTAGAGAATGGAGATGGAAGAATAGAGAAGACTGCGTTTAAGACTTTCAATTTTCAAGAATCGATATTGGAGGAGAACTGGAGAAGTAGAGAAGGAAGAAGAACAGAACGCCACGTGCCCGTGTTTTGTTGAAATCGAATTGTCGTTGTGGAATTGTTGGTGTGAATAATAATCGTTTTTGTAGTCTATACTAGAAATAACTTTAGAATTGGGGGCCCTAAGCAAGGACTTAGTTTAGTACAAGGTAAAGTCGGGCGTGGGGACCATCATCATAAAAACACAAAAAAAGACATTTATCTTGATTAAACACATCTAAGTACAACAGGAGATTCCAACCACCCAATTGATTTTTCTATTTAAAAATACCAAGATTTAAACTTACTGCAACTAAGTACTAAACTTCAAATTCAATAAAACAAACCCCGGTTTGAACAATCGAGAATAAGAGAATGGAGATCGAAGAATAGAGAAGACTGCGTTTCAAACTTTCAGTTTTCAAGAATCGATATTGGAGGAGAACTGGAGAAGTAGAGAAGGAAGAAGAACAGAACGCTACGTGCATGCGTTTTGTTGAAATCGAATTGTCGTTGTGGAACTGTTGGTGTGAATAATAATCGTTTTTGTAGTCTATACTATAAATAACTTTAGAATTGGGGGCCCTAAGCAAGAGCTTAGTTTAATACAAGGTAAAGTCGGGTCTGACTATTCATTTCTATAAATTAACCAACAATAAGCTTCAAATTTTGTATGAATCTAGATATTTTATGCACTTTCCGGGGGTCATTCTTTGAATGTGTAAGAATTTTATCAAATTCTTGAAATATTTAAGATGCATTGTATAAATTTTCTAAAAAATATTAGAAATCCAGAAGTGTGAAATATCAAAAAAATAAAAATAAAAAAAAATAAAAAAAATAAAAAAAATAAAAAAAAAACTTCTCCTAATAACCACTTATGTTTCCAAAGAATTACTTTTTAAAAATTACTTAAAGTTATTTTTTTTAACCAAGTTTAAAATACAACATAGTCAAACAATTTAAAAACCGGAGAAGCTTCCATTTTAAAACGTCTTTAAAAATTTGTTTCAATAATGTCAACTTCCATAAAACATTTTTAAATTTATAAAAGCGATAATTTAATTTATTTAAAAATTTTGATTATATATTTGTTGAATTATAATGATGTATATTTTGTAATTATATTCGATTTACTAATTATTTATAAAATTCAAAAAAAGCACAAAAAATTAACATAGCAACCTTATCCGTTTTAAAAATTCAAAGTATATATAAAACCCAAATCCATTTCCCATGACCCGTTTATTTGGGCACCCACAATTACCTGAGTTATTTAACATGAATACCCTGTTATAGATAAAAAAGTTCATAAATTCTTAAACTACTACCAAACATCTATGCAAAAATTGTTTCTGATACAAAATAAAACAGTTACAAATTTTTACGTAATGCATGTAAATGATTTTTTTTTCTGTTCAACATATAGAAATGTTGAAAGTATAAGACACAAGTAGAATGAACTGAAGAAAATATATCTCAATTACACTAATTTCAAAAAAAAAATGGTATTAAAAAAAAAACAACCAAAAGTTAAATCCAATATTGTTGTTTTATTAACTCCTTTTTCTATTATAAAAATGAACTCGTTTTCCAATTTACATCCAACATTTTTAGTGGTCGTAATTAGTCAACGACATTTCCATACTTGTCGCTCGTAAATAAAACATTTAAGGGTCAACATTGACCAAACGTTACCGCTGAGCCACGTTTCAACGGGACACACCTTGCGTTTCAACCAATCCTACTAAAGCCCCCAAAACATTTCCTCAACCATGTCTCCGCCGCTAACCACCATATCCAACCGTCGGACCACCATCCATTCCTCGCCTCTGCTAAGGGCTTCACAACACAGATCGTCCCCTTTCGTTTACCCTTTTATTGTTTTTCCCATATCGCGTCTGCATAGAACTAGATTCGGTAATGGCTTTACTTCGGAGGAGAAAACGACCCGACGACGATTCGCCACAGACCCCCGGCTTGCCGGAGGAAGACGAAGATAAGACAATTAAATCACAGAAAAGAGGAAAAAGGCGGAGGAAAAAGGAGTATTCCTGTTTGGATAATTGTTGCTGGTTAGTGGGATGCATATGCACGACTTGGTGGTTCTTGTTGTTTTTATACAACACAATGCCGGCGTCTTTCCCACAATACGTAACGGAGAAGATCACCGGACCGTTACCGGATCCTCCCGGCGTTAAATGTGTAAAACAGGGACTGGAACCGAAGCATCCGGTGGTGTTTGTGCCGGGGATTGTCACCGGTGGGCTTGAGCTGTGGGAGGGCCACGAATGTGCGGAGGATTTGTTCCGAAAGAAACTTTGGGGAGGCACGTTTGGCGAAATTTACAAAAGGTATTCATCCTTCGCTAATTTTTTGATCACTTCGAAATCACGAATATGACAAGTTCTTGATATATTCTTGTATACAAAATTGTTACATCGCATGCAGGCCATCATGCTGGCTAAAACATATGTCTCTGGACAACAAAACGGGTTTGGATCCTCCTGGAATTCGGGTCAGACCCGTCAGCGGGCTTGTAGCCGCCGACTACTTCGCTCCGGGCTACTTTGTGTGGGCCGTTTTGATTGCAAACTTAGCTCGTGTCGGCTACGAAGAAAAGAACATGTATATGGCTGCATACGACTGGCGACTCTCGTTTCAGAACACAGAGGTATAAAATCTAAAAGATATATATATATATATATATATATATATATATATATATATATATATATATATATATATATATTTTTTTTTCATTTCTAATCTATCTCATGTTAGACTCGTTTACATGTTTATTGCTTCTTGATAGGCAAGAGATCAAACGTTGAGTCGGATAAAGAGCAATATAGAACTGATGGTGGCTATAAACGGTGGTCAAAAAGCTGTCATCATCCCACATTCAATGGGTGTTCTCTACTTTTTGCATTTCATGAAATGGGTGGAGGCACCAGCTCCGATGGGCGGTGGAGGTGGCTCAGACTGGTGCGCTAAACACATAAAAGCAGTGATGAACATCGGTGGCCCACTTTTAGGTGCACCAAAAGCTTTAGCGGGTCTTTTCTCAGCTGAAGCTAAAGATATTGCGTTTGCTAGGGGAATTGCACCAGGTGTGTTAGACTCGGATGTATTTCAAATTCAAACGCTGCAACACATCATGAGAATGAGCCGAACCTGGGACTCCACCATGTCCATGATACCAAAAGGTGGTGAAACCATCTGGGGTGGGCTCGATTGGTCACCCGAGGAAGGATATTTACCGAGCCAGAGAACACATGCAAACATTACTACTTCACGTTGCAACCAAAACGAGTCGTATAGTACAATGTGTGACACGACACGTATTAATTATGGGAGACTTATATCGTTCGGGAGAGATGTTGCAGAGTCACGTTCGTCGGATATTGAGCGGACAGACTTTAGGGTAAGATTTTATTTATATTTTGACTGTGATGTGTGACTGTGAACCAAAAGGTAGATCAAGGTGGGAGGAGACCTGTTTCTCGATCTTTTTTTTTTTTTTTTTTGTGCAAAAGTGGTGAATATTCTCTCGTTATCGACACCAAATATTGCCCTAGCTAGAAAGCTTGTGCACTTGTGTCCTATCATGTCTAATCTTGTCAAATATAACAAATGCAACTTAAAGATTATTGCTATATTTATTAGACTCTGGCGGTTGTTTGATGGTAGGGTGCGGTCAAGGGTTACAATCTCGCGGATATCAAGTGTCGTGATGTGTGGACCGAGTATCACAATATGGGACTAAGTGGAATCAAGGCGATAGCGGAATACAAGGCTTATACAGCTGGAGACCTTTTGGATTTGCTCGAGTTTGTTGCACCAAAGATGATGGAACGAGGCATGGCCCATTATTCACACGGAATAGCAGAAAATCTGGACGACCCGAAATACGCACATTACAAATATTGGGCTAACCCGTTGGAAACTAAGTAAGAACCTTTCTTGTTTTCATTGTTTCCATGCAACAAACATGACTAACAAATCATTTTCTTTTACTAAATGGGGATAAAATATAATTTGGTAAACTATATATATGAGTGTTTTATTTTTTACTTAATAAAAAGAACGACCTAATGTAGAAAACTAGTAATATAAGGTTTTCCCATTAAGTAACACAAACTATGCCTAACCATACGATCGTCCACTTTTAGGTTGCCAAATGCTCCAGACATGGAGATATACTCAATGTACGGTGTTGGCATTCCGACTGAACGAACATATGTTTACAAGCTCACTCCGGCAGCGGAATGCTACATTCCATTCCAAATTGATAATGCAGCGGGGGATATCGATGAACACGTCTGTTTAAAAGACGGTGTATACACTGTAGATGGTGATGAAACTGTACCCGCACTGAGTGCGGGGTTCATGTGCGCCAAAGGGTGGCGCGGGAAAACACGTTTTAATCCCTCAGGTATTAAAACGTATGTTAGGGAGTATCATCACAACCCACCCTCAAATTTTCTCGAGGGTCGGGGTACACAGAGTGGTGCCCATGTTGATATCATGGGCAATTTTCAGTTGATCGAAGACGTAATTAGGGTTGCATCCGGTGCTTCCGGTGAAGAATTGGGAGGTGATAGAGTTTATACAGACATTTTCAAATGGTCTAAAAAAATTAACTTGAAATTGTAAGATATTAATGAATCCGTTACTTCTTTCGATCTAGTGTTTTTGGACGTAAATTATGGAAAATTTTATTTGATGTTAAATATTGAGGATCAAAAAATTAGTTGTAATAAAACAGGTTGTAGAAGATAGAATTCGAATGGGTATTTAATTATTTATGGTTTAAATTTTTGAAAGTGCATTTGCTGTTTAAAGGTTTTTTTTATTAAAGGAATTTACTGTTTAAAGTTGTATTAAACAGATTATTAGTTGTTTTGGTGTTTGATAAATTGATGCATAAACATACAAAATAATAGATAAAATTGCTAAAAAATGTTCTAGTAAAAATTGGAAATATTATATAAATAAATAATAATAGTTACTAATTTGATAATCAATTTTCTTATGGTCAGTGTGAAACTAAGGTTAAATGGTGTGGTAGTTGTTTTGACAATAGTAAAAACGTATCACATAGATGTCACGTAGGATATTATCATTTTTCCTATAATTTGCCAATGAATTGGATGTGGTAAAATTTTTACCTTTGAAATTAAAAAAAAAACAAAAAAAAAAACATAAATTCCCATTAAGTCATTAACCAATCAATAGTTAGTTTTTTTAATTTACCAACGGTGGAAATATGCCGCCGGTATTATACCGACAGTGAAAAATGGATCCCCGCGTGATATTTACCGCCAACATATGTGCCACATAAGCTTACCACCGGGTAAGTTATCTGTGACACCCTTTAGCCTAATCCCTAAATCGATTTTTTAAATCGTAAATGGTAATATAACTATTAAGATTTTGAATTGTAACAACAAAATATCATTATTTATCCATGTTTACTATTAAGATTTTGAATTGTAACAACAAAAAAAAATCATTTTAATTTTTTTTAATGTATAATCACATCCTAAATTCATTAACTTTCATCTATTTGTATATAAATAAATCGATTTAAGTTATATATTATTCTAATATATTAAGAAACAAATAATATAATTTAAAAACAAATTAAACGAGTCAAGCAAATGAGAGTCACTCAAGCACATACTATTAGCAAAATAATATATATATATATATATATATATATATATATATATATATATATATATATATATATATATCACTTTTAATAAATGAAACCTAAAAATGACATGTGTCAGTTTTTTAAAATGTTTCTTTGACACGTGATATTTTTCTATGATTTTTATTATTTTCTTTTTTTTTGGTAATAAATCAAATTCAATTCAAATTTTGAAAATACAAAATCATATCCTAATAATATTATTATGTTTATTTTGCTTAACAAATTAATTCATAATTACTTACAATCGATAATATCTTGGTTTTTTTTTTACATTTACTATTTTTTAATCTATATAAAATTTTTAAATATACCGACCGTGGTTTCCACGGGTTATAACCTACTATATATATATATAATATATATATATATATATATATATATATATATATATATATATATATATATATATATATATAACCCTATTTAACAATTAATCATTCACAAAATTCAAGAAAATTTTAGCAAAACAGTATTTGTAGGTCATCCCAACAATTCATTTTCAATGATACTAAAAAGCTTACTCATTCTAAGGTAGTGTTTGTTTTTTCTCTGCAGATCTGCGTGGCCTCTTCTGTCTGCGTCGCGCAGACAACGCGCAGACATTAGCCTTCACAGACTGTTTGTTTTTTTGAAGACTGCAGACCTAAAAATGTATGCGCGCCCTCTTCTTGGCGCAGATGTGGATCAGAGTCTTCTAACATCTTCAGACATCTTCTAGCCTAAAAAACATATATATCTTTATTTTTTTAAGTTTTTCTTAATTTATATTTTTTCCAACTTTATTAATGATAAACAATTTGAAAAAAAAAATTACAAAACTTAAAAAAAAACGTTCGACGATACAAACATGATATTTTTGACAAATTTATAAATAAAGATTTATTACAATAATAGTCGTTGAAGTTGTTTATATAAATATGAAAAAAAAATCATAATATATTCTTATATTTTTTTGCCAAATTTTGTAAAACATTATTTAATACAGTATCGTCAATTTCTCGAGAAAATATTTATGGTACGTTTTTAATGGATTTAATTGAAAAAATCAAAGTTTATTTCCATCCATTTATGTATCAAATTCTTTGATCACTAATTATAATGTTTAATTATAACTTTGCAACCAAAATTGTTGGTTTTTATCAAATATATACGTTAATTCATATCATTTTTATTTTTATTTTTTATATAATAATACATAAAAGTTGATCTAGGTTCGTTAATTATTTATAACAAAGTCATAAAAATATTAAAAAATCACTTTGAAGTTTAAAAAAATCAGTTTATTTAGATTTCAGTTTATTTTAGTAGCCCGCAAATGTTAAAAAAACAAACAGTCTTCTTTTTTCAGACTGCAGACGTTTGGTCCACCTCTTCTACTGCAGAGGTCTACAGATGTGGTCCGCAGACTGCAGACATTTTGCCTCAGAAAAAACAAACAGCACCTAAGTGAACAATTCATTTTCAATGATACTAAAAAGCTTACTCATTCTAAGTGGATGTTTGGATAACTTATTAGTTTATAACGGTTTGTCATCCGTAATAATTAAATTTTAATGTTTGAACTGTTAAAATTTATAAGCCTTTATTAGTTTAAATAAAGAATTTTTAATAAATTGGGTTTTTTTTATTTATTTGAAATTCCTTTTTAGAGTATTTTTATTTCCCTTGTTATGAGTATTTATATTTCCCTCCTTATGTATAATTATTATTATTATTATTATTATTATTATTATTATTTGTAAAGCATTTGTTCTTCCACCGTTGATAATCGTATACCATTCGGATTAATTGTTGTTCTATATTTTGTATCTATATATTTTATCTTATACAAATATTCATGGATTCGCAAAATATATTCTCTTAAAGTTTTTTGTTAATCTTTTATGAATAATAATATTATAGTTGATGATAAATAAAATATTATTAAAAATACAAAAAGAATCAATGATATGTAAGATATTTTTTGAGTAATTTTACATAAATAAGTCAAATTTACTAAACACTAAAAAACAACTCGAATATTTAATAATATATATATTTTTTAACACCAAATAAGCTAAGAAACATTTTAAAAAAACATAACATATTTTAAATAAGAAATTCCAAACATCCCCTAAGTTCTAACTGTTACCTAATAAGCCCAATCGACCTAATTCCACATCTCTATTCATAAATATAAAATCAATTTATTAAATATATAGTTTTTTTTTTATTTCAGTACGAGGATAATAATACAACACTTCAAGATTATTAAATAAAGCAAGAATATTATAAAAATACTATTTATTTGGTGGTTTGCACCAAATGTCGATTAAAAAAATATTTTAAAAAGCACACACGTTTTGCTAATTGCTTACTTTGCTTCGATCCAAATTTATTATTGTAGTTAAATAGTAATTAATTAAATAATCATTATCGTTAAAAGAATGAAGATAAAAGGATATTTATCTTGGTCGGCTTTAAACTATTGTTTAAATTAAATTGTTCTTCCTTATCCTAATCAAATATGATGTAAAGAATTGAAGACTATATGGATTCCAGTTCAAGAAACAAAAGTGACAGCTTTTTTATTTAGTATTCGTTAAAGATAAACAGATTAGTTGCATATATTTTCTGAAAAAAGAATGACAAATTTAGAGAAAAAATATTTTTTTTTTCCATAAAATAAACACATTTAGACATTTATTTCTGCAATTTTATCATTTGCATGATGAAATGATCAATAAAAAATCTAAGTTTGTTATTTTGACGTGATTGAAATTGTAGATGTTCAATCTCTGATCCCATAAAGTTATGTATTAAACATCTATATAATCATGGACGAAGCTTGCTTGGGGGCTGTCGCCCCCCCTGAATTTTTTTGTTAGAGATAGCCCTTCCACTTTAGTTTATATACATATTTAGCCTAAAAATATAAAATTTATGCTGTGGCCCCCCTGCTCTCCGGTTTTCATGTATATTATACTTTTGGCCCCAAAATAAATGTTCAAGCTCCGGTATACAATCATATTTATATAAAAAATAGAGATGTTTTTTTTCAAACTTTTAAATATTATGTGCTCATTGCTTGGCGCATAACGAAACCGCAATCCACATATGAAATCGCGACCCATTATGGCCCATTAAATGTCATGTTCGATTTTCGGTGGTCATATGTGTAATTTTATTTTTATTTTTGACTATTTTTGAAAGAAATAATTATATAATTATGCTAAATTTGTTTTTTCTTTACATTTATTTATTTATTTTATTTAAGGGTGACAATCCATGACACGACATGGAAAAAGACAAGACAAAACGTAATTGAGATGAAACTGAAATTCAAATTCGAGTTCGTGTCAAGGGTAAAAAACACGACATCGTGTCGTGTTCGTGTTTAAGATTCAACACAAAATTGTCACAATATCAACATGTAGTTTTTGTGTTTGTCATGTTTTGTAAGATTGAATTTGAATTAAATAAATTAAATGTATATTTTATTTTATATTTTTCGTGTGTTTTGTAACAGGACATTGTGTTGTGTCGTGTTCATGTTATATAAAAATTGTCGTCTTGTGTCATGTCAGCTAAAACACGGTACAACTGCCTGTTTTGCTACCCATACCTTATTAGATTTTGTGTCAATGAAATAGTGGATAAAAATGCAAGACGGTCAAAGGACACCGTTTTAAACACTACGTCACGTGATTGAAAATAAGTTGTTCATATGCATAAAAAACTATTTGACATGAGAATTGCTAATAATAAATTATGTTGTTTATTACTAAAATTCAATCATAAACTTTTATTACCATCTGTAGTCTGGATTGTCTAGACTTTAGATACATGTTTGAGTTTGAACCAAGCTTTGAAGAAATGACAACCCTAATAGAGTAATAGAAATACGAGTATATTTCCTAACGCTATAAGTTGATAAACATAAAGAAATAAATAT